TTCAAAGCCAGACACAACAACTTAGCAAGACCTTGTCTCAAAAAGAAAAAGAAATAAAAGCGGGTAGGTGGCTGGAGATGTTGCTCAGTGATAAAGCACCCGCTGGGTTCAACCCCTGGTACCCACCCCCTGCAAAAAATCTACTAATGTGATTTGCCAAGTTAAGGAGAAATGGATTAGAAGAGAAGAGGGAAGAGAAAAGAGGAAGAGGAAGAGAGAGAAGTGAAAAAAAATAGGATCAAAAGAAAATTGGAGACGGAGATAAAGGAAGTAGAGAGAAACTGAATGAGCAATTGAGGTGGAAACTAAAGATCAACCTCTCTTTTCTGGATGTTGACCTTGAAAAAGACTCTACAAACAAACAAACAAACTACTCTCCAATGTCCCTCATATTCATAGATGTAACATTTCTTAACATAATTGAATCCAGTAAGGATACGACCTCATGGCCATTTGGAGATTATCCCAGGCACTCAAAATTGGTTTAACTTTAGGGAATCAACCAATGTTAATTTACCATATTAACAAAGTACAAAAGAAAGACTAGAGACTGGGGTTGTGGTAGAGCACTCACCTAGCACGAGCGAGGCGCTGGGTTCAATCCTTAGCCATATATATATATATATATATATATATATATATATATATATAGAGAGAGAGAGAGAGAGAGAGAGAGAATCACATGGTCTTTCAAAAGACTATGTGATTATCTCAATATAAGCAGAAAAAGCATTTGACTAAATTCAAATTAATTTCTGATAAAACAAAAACTCTCAACAAAAAGGAATTCACTTAATGAAAAACATCTACAGAGACCCCACAGATGGCACCATACTGGATGGTGTGAAATGGGAAGCTTTCTAATACAGTCAGGAGCATGGCTCTTGTCCAGTTGTGTTTGGACCATTTACAGTTCTCATCAGTGCAGTACTTACCAGGGCAAAAAGCCAAGGAGAAAATGTAAAAGCATCCAGATTAGAAAGGAAAGAGTAGACGTTTCTTTCTTTTCAAACATGACAGAAAATCCTACAAAATTGTTTAAAAAAAAACTATTCAAATTGATAGGTGTAGTGAGGTAGCAGAATACAAGATCAGTATACAAGAATCAATGTGTTTCTACACTAGTAACAAATAATCAGAAAGTTTAAAAGCAAAATTATATCATGAATACAATATCATTACAAGTAAGACAAGACCTTAACTCATCATATTATACAATACAGGTTGAATGTCCCTTATAAAATGCTTTCAGATTTTGCAATTTTTTAGATTTTTAAATATTTGCTTGCACTTTGCCAATTGAGCATCTCCAATTAGAAAATCAGATTTCGAAATGCCCCAACAATTGAAATTTGAAAAGCTAGTGTTCAAAAAGTTTCAGACTCTGAAGCATTTCTGATGTCAGATTTTCAGATTATAAATTCTCCACCTTTATCATTTAAAAAAAAATGAAATGTGGGCTGGGATTGTGGCTCAGCGGTAGAGCGCTCGCCTAGCATGGGCAGGATCCGTGTTCGATTCTCAGCACCACATAAAAATAAAAGCATTGTGTTGTGTCCATCTATACCTAAAAAATAAATATTTTTTTAAAAAAGATTCTCTCTCTCCTTTCTCCTCTTTCACTTAAAAAAATTATAAAAAATAAATGAAATGTACAGGGATAAATCTCATTTTAAAAATATGTCCAAAACCTGGGTACTGAAAACTGCAAAACACTGATGAAAAGCTGAGAGGAATTATACTTGGGAGGATTATACCTTGCTCATGGTGTTACGGAACTGAGGCCTTCCGAGAAACTGAGGCAGCGTGAAGACCCCCCCTTTAACCCCGATTCTTGTAATCAAGAGTGAAAGATCTCAGACATGTTGCTCAGAGTAACAGGCATGAGTTATGGAAGGGATAGAAAAAGGGAAAGGGGACACTCTCAAGGGAGAGAGTGTCCTCTTAGAGAGGAGAGGTACAAGGTGCCTCCAGTTTTATGGGGGACCCATAGAGTCCTGCCCATGTTCACCTCAAGTGTCTGACATCAAGATGACATCAGACTTTCAAGTCCCCATTGCCATAACAACTCTAGGTCACCTTGGCCCAGGCTGACCAGTTCTAATTGGATTCTTAATCATGAATCTTACAGACTTCATGATTAAGAGGAATTATCCTTATCTCCCTGATTCTGGGGATCTGGTCTGTGGAAAGGGTCACAAAAATCTCCCCCTTCAGTGTAACTTGGGTTCCTCTTCTGGACATTTTTTCAGGCCTGCGTTTCTCCAGCAGATAGCAGGTAGCTTGCTGAGGAATGTGACATAGCCTGTCCACTTAGGCAGGACTGCAGGGAAATTGCTTCTGGGAAAAGAAAGCATGTGGGGGTCAGCAGAGTGGGCCCAATTTACAGAACTATTCCCTGAGGTTGGTGCCTACAGACAGTGTTCGTGCCCTGACACAGTTGTTAGTATCAATTTTCAAAATATATTGGCCAGTGATGATTGAATTGGGAAAGAATAATAGAACTTATTTTCCCCCTTCGTCAGTTCCGGGTGACAGAGTTTCCTGTTGCTGGGGCTTCTGTTCTGCTGTTTTGTTCTCTCTCCTCAGGTTCCAAACAGAAGCCCGTGTCCCTGTGAGGTCCTCGTCCTCCCCAGGAGACCTGGGCCAGTCTCTGCTCCTGTCTTCCCTCCTACTCCCAGGGAATCATCTCTTTACCTGCCAGCAGAAGCCCCTGCCAGGGGACATGTCCTCTGTGGGGAGAGGCTGAGGGGGCTCCATGGTCTCTGCTGCCTGCTCTGTCCTCCCTGTGTGGCAAAGAACCACTATCCACCGTCCCCCTCATCTGTCTGTCCCCTAACACTGAGATGCCAATAGCCCCCAAATTGGTCTATAGATTTGATGCAATCCCTATCCATGCGCCAGGAGCCTTTAAAAGTAAAGAAAGAAATTGACAAGCTAATTATAACATTCTCCTGGCAATACAAAGGACCAAGACAACTCTGAAATAACAAATAATTTGGAAGACTAAATTATGTCACTTCAAGACTTATTATAAAGCTATAATAATCAAGAGAGTGTGACACTGGTATAAAAATTATCAAAAGGATCAATGGAACAGAATAGAGTCCACAAGTAGATCCACATGTGGCTAAGCCCCCCTCTCCGGTCATCACTAGGAGGCCCCATTCTAACCCCCAAAGTCATCTGTGTGACCCCCTTTGCTGGAAGCTCATTTACCTTCCCAGAGCGACTGGGAATACTGCAAAGATGGACATATGCAAATAGGTTTTTTCTGTGTCACAGAGAAAATCAGCCACCATTAGGGACCCCAGGGGTCCCCTGTGTGGTGTTCACAGTCCCAAGGCCATGGCACAGCAGAGGTCAGGTCAGGTTGAGCCAGGGTTTCTCTCAGGGGACAAGATCCCCATCAGCCTTGCTTCTTCAAGTGTGGTCTGGGGTCTGGGGTACTGACACTTGAAGAGGCAACACTGAAAGGGGAGGTGCCGGGTCGTGCCCTAGCGGGGTCCAGGGAGTCCTGAAGGATGAGTGGCGTCGGCGAAAAGATGAGACAGGAGTCGTTCCGTTGGAGCAATCTCCAGAGAGAGAGCGAATGCAGCTTTCTCTGGGTCATCTTTTATTACAATTTTTCTCATCATTATAGATTCAGAATACGTCATTGATTATATAATTTAAAACTCTGCCAAGACATGACATTTCCTTAACCATGATTGGGGGTACAAAAAATGTAACATTGATTTACATTTTTCCAGGATATGACCTTCAGTTATGTAATTATTAAAAGTACAGAATCATTAATAAAATACGTCACTAATTTACATTTTTCAGATTTTCCCAAGATTTACTATTTTTCCCAAGATATGCTATTTTCTTATTAACTAATGCCAAACTACATAACCAGACTCTAAGTCTCCTAACCAATCATTAACCTAAAGTACACTTGTACTTTATTTCTAATCTAAAATTCCCATCTAAAAAAGTCCCCTTAAATCTTATACTTAAAACATCCTAAAGTTTATAAATCATTCTTAAAACATATCAGAAACCTATACAACTACAAACTTAAGAATTTCTAAACTTAAGAATCTAAATAAAATAATATTTCTAACATTATTCTAAAACTGTGTCTTATAAAGCTGTTTTAATTAATTCCTAAATTTATTCTCATAAAACTGGTTGAGCTGCTTTCTCAAAGAGTTTCTTTGTTTCTCAGTCAAGGTGCACTAGTTCTCATATCTTTATAATCTTTCTCAATAGAAAGTAAATTCTAAACATCAATCCACTTTCCACCAATATTAACTATGCTCATCATATATCCCTATGTAAAAAGTAAGAAAGGATTTATAAAAAGAGAAGAATATATCTTTATATGTTTTAACTTTCCTAAGTGTATAATATAACTTTCCTTGATCAAAAATGAGACTACATGTGGTGAACTTTGTGAAATAAGCATAATGATTAGATTTTCTAAGAGGCCGGAAATATGGGCTTGGGTTCTAGTTGATATAATCAATGTGGTGCCTAAAATTCTCATGACCTTTCAGAGGATGATTGTTGTCCATTATCAGATTTGTCCTCAATGTACTGAGATAGAAGAACAGCCTTCTGCTTTGTCCTTGATATGCTGAGGGGTAGTAGAACAGCCTCCAAGAACTACCTGTTATGTTCTAGCCATCTGAAATTTAATTTGTTTGGCATTTAACATACTCATGCCTCCTGTCAGAAACATAAGCATGAAAATGCAAAGTCCCAATTACATAAAAAAGGGTCTCATGGTTTCAGTTTCCCACCAACCAGCGTGGCTTTGCCAGCATTCATCCTCACTGTGACCCTGTCAAGACAGTGGGAGAGCGGCTTTGCCGGCACTTTTTCTCACTGTGACCCTGTCAAGACAGTGAGTGGGGGATCGCCTTCACCAGGGAGGGGACAGAGAGGCTTCCTAGACAGAGTCCCGCCCCCAGCCCATGTGACCCTGGGAAGTGCTCCTGCCCTGGGAGGAGGCTCAGCCAGAGAGGACAGCAGAGCTGGGTGGCCTGAGCAGCCTGCTTGGGAACAGGTCTGGAAACCCGGTTCTTTGCCACACAGGGAGGACAGAGCAGGCAGCAGAGACCATGGAGCCCCCCTCAGCCTCTCCCCACAGAGGACATGTCCCCTGGCAGGGGCTTCTGCTGGCAGGTAAAGAGATGATTCCCTGGGAGTAGGAGGGAAGACAGGAGCAGAGACTGGCCCAGGTCTCCTGGGGAGGACGAGGACCTCACAGGGACACGGGCTTCTGTTTGGAGCCTGAGGTTAGAGAACAAAACAGCAGAACAGAAGCCCCAGCAACAGGAAACTCTGTCACCCGGAACTGACGAAGGGGGAAAATAAGTTCTATTATTCTTTCCCAATTCAATCATCACTGGCCAATATATTTTGAAAATTGATACTAACAACTGTGTCAGGGCACGAACACTGTCTGTAGGCACCAACCTCAGAGACTGGCAGACACCTGGACACTCAGGGCTGAGATACTGCTTAGGTGTCTGAGCCTGTTCCAGGCACCAGGGCCACAACAAAATCAGATTAGTTCCCGTGTCATGGAGTCTCCTTCCAGTGGGCAGGAAGACAGGCCAGCAAAGAGATGGAGGAGGGGCTGAAAAGAGGCACACAGGGCAGAGAGCTGGGAAATGTCAAAAGGGAAGACCCAGGGTCTGCAAGGAGATGGTCAGGGGAGGCCGGTGCCCAGGACAGCCTGAGGGTGAGCAGGGATCTGCAGGCACTGAGGGGCCAGCCTTGCAGACACCCAGGAATACCATTCCAAAGGAAATGACAAGTTCAGGGGTGCTTAAGAAATGAGTCACACTGCTGACCTTGATACACACACACACACACTCTCACTCACTCCAGGTTCCGAGGCTGAGGGATGAAGACACCTGCTAAGGACCCAGAGCTCCATTTTCCCACCAAAAACTGATGGACTTCTCTCCCCTCAGTTCTGGTCTCACCTTTAACCTTCTGGAACCTGCCCACCACTGCCCAACTTGCTATTGAATCTGTGCCCTTCACTGCTGCCGAAGGGACCGATGTTCTTCTACTTGCCCACAATGTGTCAGAGAACGTCAAAGGCTACACCTGGTACAAAGGGGAAAGGGGCATTGACAGCCATCAAATCGCGATATACCTAACAGCCACTCAAGGAATTATCCCAGGGCCTGCCTACAGTGGTCGAGAGACGGTATACCCCAATGGATCTCTGCTGTTCCAGAAGGTCACCTTGGAGGACACAGGATTCTACACTCTGCAAACCATAAGTAGCGATCTTCAGGCTGAAAAAGCATCTGGACACATCTGTGTATATCGTGAATGACTCTCTATGGAAGCATCTGGACAGTTCTATGCATACTGTGAGTGGTTTTCTGTGACCCCTGGGGGTGGGCTGGGGTTGATTCCACTACACACACACACACACACAAGACTGTCAGTTTGGGCCTACTTCTTCCTCTATGTTGTGTGCCTTTGCTGCGGTTTGAGCTTTTAGTGCAGGACACACACAGTGGAGACAAACTTCAATAGATTGGATTCCTCTCTCTGAATCCAGCCTGCAGACACTTGCTGCAGAGTGGACAGGCTGCCAGGTGACTCCGCAGGTGAAGCTCAATCTCAGTCCAGCCTCCCTGGCCTCTCCCCATGGACATGGCTCTGAGAAAGACTGAGTCAGTGCTGAGTTAATCCCCTGAGGGGCTGCCTGTGGCCCTCACAGAGAAGCATAGTTCTGGGAAGTTCCTGACCCAGGCCTCTCTATTCCAGGCTCCTGACTCCAGGTCCTGGGGGCCAGGACCTCCTGGACAGAGCTGATGAGGGGCAACCATTTACATCTTACAGAGTCCCAGGATTACTGGAGCTGATTGCTAGCCAGGGCTCAGCCTCAAGAGCCACACCTGAGCAAAAGCAATGGCGAGTCTTCTCAGCCACTAGAAGACTGACCTAGGGGACTTAGGGGACTCTCTGGAGAGGTCAGCATCTCTAGGGGGATGAGCAGAGGCAAGAGGTTGCCCTGACAGGCTCTTTTGCAAGATCATGCACAGGAACCCTCTCTCTTGGAATCTCATAATAATAGATTTCATTTATTTGTGAAATAAATGAAATCTATTATTATTATTATCTATTTAAGTCAGGTGCTATGAATATTTTAAGGCCAACTCAAAGACAATCTGAAGTCAAATATCATTTATCCTACTTTATTGAGGGAAAACTTGGGCACAGGACTCAAGTCACTGAATTAGAGTCACATAGACCAAGACTGGCAGGTCAGAGTCATACCAGGTCTGGGTGCAGCCACAGCTCCACCCTCCCCTCCACACTTGAGCCCTTATTAGGTGGCCATGGACCCCAAGACCAGTCCTTGATCCTTTCTTGATCATTTCTTAGTAGGCCACCACAGCTTCATAGTATAAAGGAGAGAACTTTGCTTTCTCACTGCCTACTCTACACCCTGCACTCAGCACAAGGTCCAAATGTTACCAACTTCAATAGCTGCTGGAGATAGGAATGAGCCAATGATCCACAATCCCTTCAAAGACTAGGATCGGGATGCAGATTCCTGACCATTGTATAAATTCCATGTTCCTCCCAGGGGCCAAGACCCAGGCCTTGAAGCTTTTGCTATTTTCTAGAGAAATATCCTTCCAATAAGTCAGACTCTTGGGTATTGATAATAATTTTCACATATGGAAAAAAAATTTAGCTGCTCCTCAAATTTCTGTCCCATATCTGACAAACACATGTGGCCCATCAGGGCCAGATTTCCATCGGTTCATTCTTCTGTGTCTGAAAACATTCCCCTATATTTCAGGCAAGATCCACAAGGTCCTCACCTGCCCTCCACTGTTGAGAGCCATCTGTGGACTAAATAGGCATGGAAGGCTACTGAGTAGGAAAATCTGGTATTTGGGAACTTCCAGGGGCAATCCAGCTGGTAAGATCACCCAGATATATGTGAGTCCTGTTCACTTCTGCCAGGTCCCACACAGCACCAGAGATGGGTACACCTGCTGTAGCCACACAGCCTCTCAGAGATGGATGTAGCATGCCAAGATGCCAATCAACCTGTTGACTGCAAGACACCATGAAGCAGGACTCCAACCCTGAAACCTTATCCCTGCCTTTGATGTGCCCCCTTAAATAAATCATCAGGACCATTTTTCAATAGTTCTGTTCCAGCTCCTACAAGGACTAGAAGATCCTATCAGGCACTCTACTTTTAAAACCTATTTTTAAACTTTGCTTCTATTTCTTCACTTTACTTCAGAGTTTATTTTCTCAAGTGGCTTATTCTCCCCAAGCAGGAAAAATTACCCTGGTGAGGCATTGGCAGCCCCACAATACTCTGCAATGAGAGAAGGGACATTAAAGACCAAGGACAGAGAACATGGTTCTGCTCCAAAGCCAGCCAGTGTTGCCTGCCTGCCCCCTCTCTCTTTCTAGAACATTCCTTGGAGTCTGCTCTATTTTTCATGGGTCAGCCACTATTCAAAGCCTAGGTAGAACTGCCCCCGCTCAAGGTCCTGTGGCCTTGGTATTTACCAGACTTCCAGACCTGTGCCTGGTGTCCCATGTGCTATTTCTCCTTTAACTCCTGGTCTCCATCATGACCCACCTCTAGGACAGCTTTGAAAAGGCTACGCAGGGGAGTCTGTGCAGTTGGAGGGACTCAGCACCACGACTCAAGGCCAGGTAGGCAGCCAGTCAGTGAGGATCAGGAGGTGCAGGGGCTCTGACTTCCTGTGCCAGGTCTGTCCATGACCAAATACTGCAACTAAAGTCACATGTCAGAAACTCTGTGCTTCTCCCAGACACAGCCCAGGCAGCCCCACATCCTCTGAGCCCTCAGATCCTCCTGCATCTGCCCAGGATACCCACTCCTGCCTGGTTCTTCAGGACTCAGGTTGGTGGGAGGTGAGAGGCCAGCTCAGGTGGAAAGACACCTTTGCAGGAACCAAAGGTACCACAGGGCAATCTTCTCTCTGTGGTCTGCAGAGCAGAGATGCCCAAACCCCACCTACATTATGTGACCTGTGTACAAAGATTATTTTCTTCCCATCAATTAAAATGGCTTTGTTTTCTTTGTCGATTTGTTCCACGGTTACATTGAAGAGAAGTGGTGAAACACAAGGGAAGGCTTTGTCTTGTTCCTGGTCTCAGTGTCAAGACTCTCAGTATTTCCCCACTGAGTATTACGTGAGATTTTCACATGTGGCTTTTATTACATGAAGGTGATTTCCATCTCTTCCTAAGAGTGCCAGTCTTTTGTTCAAACCATGACTATTTCCCACTAAAGAGTTCCTTCATCGTGACATTCAATCCACAGGCCAGGAAGTCAAAGTCCTCTTAGGTGGAGAAATCCTTTAGATTGGAACTTCTCCAACTCTGCCATCATGAGACTATTCTGGGCCATCTTTGTTCTCGAACAGATTATTTTAGAAAAAGTAAATGCCATTGTATTTCATGTAAAACTTTCCTGGCCCCAGAGATGGATAGGGCTGCCAAACCGGATCTCCTCAAAATACACCCCAATTCAAATAAGGAACAGGACCTGAGAAAATCACAAAAAGGTCAAACAGGAGTTTATAGGAAAAAAAATCTACCTGATGATGAGGTTGCTGGGCACATGGACTGAGAAGAGGGTCCTGGTGCAGATTCTACAAAGATGTTCAGGGGTCCGGACATGAGTCACCCTGGTTGATCTGGGATCAGAAGGAGGGGCTGCCCTCTCCTTACAGATAATCACCTGAACAAAGACACTCAACCTCTGCAGAGGGTCAGGGCCACTGTCTGGCCAACCTTACACAGCTCACTGTGGGCACCAGAGCTGCCTGAGGTCTCTGAGCAAAGAGCCTGGCCCAGGCCCCAGGCCGCAGGCCCACTATCAGTGGGTCCTCTCCTCAGTTTACTCACAGAGTCTGTGACAAAGCCTTCCATCCTGGCCAGCAATGTGAGCATCACAGAAGAGGGCCCTGTGGCCATGACCTGCCTCTCAGGTGACACTGGAATCTCCATCACGTGGATCTTCAGTAACCAGACTCTGCAGCTCACAGACAGGATGCAGCTGTCCCGGACCACAGGACCCTCAGCATAGACCCCGTCAGACAGGAGGATGCCGGGGAGTATCAGTGTGAGGTCTCCAACCCCGCCAGTTCCACCAAGAGTGACCCTCTTAAACTAGCTGAGTGACCTTTATCCCCTGCTATGAATTAAATCAGAAATAAAAATGTTCTCCTTATAAAAATAATGGTTCTAACTCTCTTGCTTTATAAAACTATTGTGAATAGTCAGTACAATAAAATGGAAAATCCTATCAAGACCTGCACTGAGCTGGGTGTGGTGGTTGACACCTGTAACCCCAGCAGCTCAGGAGGCTGAGGCAGGAGGAATGAGTTCAAAACCAGCCTCAGCAATTTAGTGAGGCCCTAAGCAACTCAGTGAGACCCTGTCTCTAAATAAAAAAGACATTAAAAAGGGCTGAGGATGTGGCTCAGTGGTTGAGCACCTCTGGGTTCAATCCCTAGTACCAAAAAAAAAAAAAAAAAAAAGGGGGAGTGTCTTCACTCACTAAGATAGAGGGACCACAGGTAATCCACAGAGGGCCCAGCCTCAGTCCTCCCCAGGGCCCAGGGCTCTCCCTCTGGGATCTCTCTCCCCACAAGGGTTCTGGGAACTTGTACCCTTGAGCTCCAGTTGATATGAAGCTGCCTCTGACACTCTTTACTCCCCAGGCTTCAGATCCTCAACCACTTGGCCAGTGTGGTGACCTCCATGCCCTCCCTCCACACCTGTCACCAGGGAGCACATGACCACTTCAGTTTCTCTGTCGGGAGCATAGGAATGGGTCCTACCCCCATTGAGATGGCTAAAGGGAGCTCAAGGGAAGGGAGAATATCACCAACTGGCCAGACTGGCGATATGAGCTGGGTTGAAAGGAGCTGCTGGATCAATAACTATGAAAATGGCGAAGAAACCACGCAGCACATGAACATAAGTTTCTAAGGCAGGATGGCTCAGCGACCCCAAGGGTCAGCTCCAGTGCTGGAAGGAGCAAGAGAGAGAGCACACCCAAAACAGTGTATTTATTGGGGAAAAGACATTCGAGAATGTCCCATCTAAATAAGGCGAGGGATTGGGTTTCGAAGGGTGCAGTCTTGCTTGGTGATGTCTTGTGGTCAGCAGAGTGACTGACATCTTGGAAAGCCACACCCACCTCAGGTGCTGTGTAGGATCCCAAGCAGAGCCAGAGAAAAGGCACACATACGTCGCACAGCTCAATCAGGCAGTAATGTCAGGCCAGTCCCCTCAGACGCTCAAATGCGCATAGCTCACGCATGCAGCCCATGGCAGGCTGGTGACAGGACTCAGGACCCCCAGAAATGAACACCCCAGCACTCGCACCTAGGCAGGTGACTGATGAACGAGCAGGTAGGCCCCTTGAGCTGAGCTCTTACTGTGTCCCTCGGGCCCCCTGAGCACTCAGGACTCTGATCACATGCAAGGGGGACCCTGGGGAGTCTGTGTGTGGTCACCTGATTGTGGTACTGGGAGGGGACCCTGGGATGTGCTTGGTGGGAGGGGAGGCTGGGCGAGAGAGTTCTGGTGAAGGGCAGGTCCTGGGCCTGAGGAAAGCACAGAAGCCAGAATGGGAGAAGCCAGTCAAAGAAGCTGCCCTCTCCCCAGAGAGGACCATGGGACAGTGGACTCTGAGAAAAGTGGGGCTCCAGGGCCCTCCCAGGGCATATTCTGAGGTTGCTGACCAAGAGGGGACATCTTTGTTCAGCTGGGCCTGTGTGCCCATTTCCCCCTCCCCGCCCAGACCACTCCCTGGTCCTCCTCCAAGTGCCCCTGAACAGCCTTGAGCGGCCATGTCCTCTATGAGGTGTGACAGAAGAAGCTGAGCCTCTGAGTGCTCCTGGCTGTCCATCACCAATTGCTCCCACCTCCACCTCCTAACTCACATGTCTGAGAGATGCATCAGGAATATCCCTGGTCCCCAGGACTGGAGACAGGGGATGAGGCCTGCTCTTCCATGTATGACAGGAGGTGCTGACCTCAGTTTCCCATGATGACTGCCAAATCCATCCCTGTGCAGAAGACCCGGCCTAGTCACCCTGGAGCCAGACCTGGGGACCAGGCCCTGCAGCATCAGCACATCCTGCAGCCTGTGTCCAAGGGAGGCTGTTGCTCTTTTCTCGGGAGACAAGGACTGGGGGGAGTAGTGCCTGCCTGTTCCTCAGGATGCAGGTCCCTGAGGCTTGGTCTTTCTGTTTCAGAGATGAAACGTGTCTCTGCCCTTCTCTGATCTGCCAGACTCATGGGGCACGAGGGGAAAACACAGGCTCAGCCCACAGGAGGGGCATGATCATTTCTCCTGGTAGCCCATCAGCCTCAGCAAGTCTCATGGCCAAGCCCAGTATAAATAGGAGGAAGGGGAACACACTCCTCCTCTAGTAGAAGGAGCAGTGAGCTCAGTGGCAAAAGGCAGGGAAGGAATGGGCAGTGCAGAACACGAGTCCACCTACCGCAGGAACCACCATTCATTGTCCTGCTCCTTGAATCCTTGCTTGTGGAACATTCAAACATTTTTTTACTTTGAAAAACCAAATTATTTCTATTAAGTTTATCAAAATTAATTTTAAAATATTTCTGTATTAATTATATTATTTGATTAATAAATATACATAAATAACTATATTTATTTGCTTACTAAAAACTGTTGACATTTTGAAAAAAAAAACAAATATATTTTGAATGATTTTAAAATTCCCACACCCTGATAGCACACTCCTGTGCAGGTGCCAAACACACACACACACACACACACACACACACCCTCCCCTCAGGGTACCTGCAGGATCTTGTGCCAGGAAGGTATCAGAAGCACACAGCAAATGACAGGTACGATGCCCCTGGGCAGTCAGCTCATGGACTTCTGTGAGGACTGAGAGGGGGAGACGTGTGGGTCTGCTGGGAGGGTCGGGCAACACAGACCCAAGTTCTGACCCCCAAGGAGGAAGAAGCTCTATTCTCAACAGAGAGCACAGCTGTCTGCAGCAGCTGCACATGCAGAGGGTCCCTGGGCCAGGCTGATGGTGCTCCCAGTACCAACCTGCATCAGAGTGTGGAACCTGAAGTCTTGCCATGCATGTATAGCACTGAGGTTGACAGTGACATTCAGGGGAACCTGCAGCTCCAAACCCCCAAAACTAAGAAATAAGAAAACACCTCACATTTCCCATTAAATTCCCTGTTCCCACAGCACAAGCCACCTGCCATCTGCACTAGCAAGTGCAGTCATTCCTGGGTCCCACTCACCCCCACTCCCTGGCTCTCCAGCTGTGCTCAGCTACTGCCACCTCCTGGGGACTCACTGATAATCAGGACTCAGGGGCCTCAGTGCCAGTTTCACAACCTACCAGGAAGAAGGACTCTGCCTTCAGCTGGTCATTTACAATGGTGTGGACAGGGGTGTAAGGCAGCCACTCAGAAGACCTGGGGTAGGAGAGAGGTGGGCAGCCAACACAGAGCTGCACAGTGAGATGGGGACAAAGTGCTGGTGTAGGACCCAGGGCCTCAGCTGTGAGGGTGGCTGTGGCTAGGACCTCGGGAAGGGAACTGAGGAGCACAGAGGTGGGAAGTTCATGAACATTTGCAGGGACAAGGCTGGATTCCCAGAGGACCACTCTGACCACTGTCAGCTGCAGCACTCAGAGCCTGG